ACCTCAAAAAACTTTTGTACATTTGTATAAAAGAATATAAGTATAAGGGTTTAAAGTAATAAGGTATACTACACAAACTGTAACAAATACAAGGAAAGTACTATCAATCAAAGATGTGTTATACATCTTAGATGCAGTATGGAATCCAGTTATCTATACTCCGGGTGTGATATCTACAAACAAGCAAAGGATATACCACAGCGAGCTTCATGTAGTCTGCAAACACCTGTTTTAGCTACGTGAAATATTACTATATTAGAAAATAGCTGAACCTATCATCAAGTAGGCAAATTTTACAAAAGTTCAAATGCATTCAGGTATTTAGATGACATACTACATGTATCATCAAATCGATTTTATGAGAAGCATACCAGCTGATATCACACACCCTTAGAGATAAAAAAGAAAAACAACAGCGAGTTAGAAACTAACTAGACCTCAAGGTTAGCGGGCAAGGATGTTAAGTTTTGCTTATACAACAAGACAAATAGCTATGATTTCAAGATAACTGAGTATCCTAATTGGATGTCTAATATGCCTAAGTATATTTTATTTAATACCCCCACAAGTGCTTAGAGCATATAGAAACTGTTTTTGTCACATAGAATTTAAAGGGAGAATAATGGAGCTAAGTCGTTCCTCCAAGAACAACGGGTGGGAACTTAGTTCTTTTATCGGAGTCTTATATTTTGCATTCTATAATAGATCTTTCATGTTTAAATATGGGGTTCCCACAAATCCACTTCCACCTAAGCATGAGGTGCAATACATGGCCAGATGACAACTTATGACAGCGATTAGGCGGTAATTTAAATTTTCCTGTTTTGCAAAATCACATTAGTCCATCTCCGTTTCTTGTTCTTCATAGCTTCCTTTATACAGCTTGCTTTAAAATACCATGCTCTAATAGTAGAATCTCATAATTACATCAACTTTTACAAATTTTCTTGGAAACTACTGATGAAGGTACACAACCCGGGGGCACCAAAGAAGTCGCGCTACCGGTCTAATTCTTAGCCCCGAAACCTGATGTGTGAAAATTCGTTCTCACTTTACAGTGTCATAAAGTTCATCCTTTAACACAGCGTGTTACCTATATCATATGTTCTAGTCATTCTCATTACTCATTTTCTTTTATAACCAACTCATGCTAGGTGATCTCAGAAAAGTGCACGTGCTCTTTGCCCTTGTACCATCAATAAGGCATACTGAGAAGTTTCACAAGTGATAATCTGCCAGCAATGACACAACGCATAGCCGATTTTCTGCTGAGCTATTCCCCAAATTGAGGCGAAAAATCCGTCGTGGTAAGCAAGAAAATTGTCCCGACGTTTACGTCAGCAAGCCGTTTTTAGGTCACTCCGCCCATTCAGTGCTTTCTTCCTCAGCAAGCCCGTGTCTGGCTTCTCTCAAATATAATCTCTTTTACGGACGATTGTGTCAGGACCAAAAGTCAAAAAATTGGAAACGCCCCTCTGCCACTTGTCCCTGCTTTGAGCAAAATCTTGAGTTTCTTGACCGGAGTCGAAAATCTGCTCGGAACTGCCTTTGAGCAAGTTCTGTACGTTCAAAACAGTACCTGAACCTGAACCATTTTTCGGCATTCGCAGATAGCATATAGCAGCCATACCAATTCATTCTTTACATACAAGGTTGAGGGAAAATTTGGCAGTGGATTAGGTGATAGTGATAGATACATCAATTACACAGTAGTAAAAAGAAAGAAATGATAATTTGATAAAAATCCGTGGAATTTTCAGGACAAGTTTTGAGTATTTTCAAATTATTCTTCTCTTGAATATGCTAATCTGTGGCCCTTGATGTTAATTATCATCTTCAACCATCTGGCAAATCCTGGACTCTTCGTTTAACAGAAAGCCGTTTACAATCCACCATGAGCTAGAAGTTGGAATACCTCTTCTATTAAACATGGGCATCTCGTGTATACCCTATTTGAAGAGTTGCTTCCTTAAGGGCTTTGTTAGCTTCAAAAGTGGCAAAACATGTTCTAAAAGTAGAATTTCGATTAGGTAAACGGCATTGAGGCTTTGACTGACTTCTTCACAAGGTCGCTGTCAGCTCCGAATACACAGTCTTAGATTACATATACTAAATGAATCAAATTTACTTCTATCTACTAAGAAAATTGCATGACATTAGTGTATTTAGCTCTAACTGAAATTCTTAATCGATCTTTCAATGAAGTTTTTTTGAATAGCCTTCAGTTTAGTTTCCGCAGTGATAGCATCACTTTCATTTACCTAATTCAAGGCGAGTTCATACTGAATCTCCGTCAATCATCCCCCTTTTAGCATAAGGTGTTAGCTAGAGTTGTTGTGAGGAAAAGGCTTCGCGTTGAGCAGCTGACAAAAAGGGAACTCCAATTATTCCGCAATCTTATCTCTAGTAGCTATATCTCGTATATATGAAAGTTGATGAAATGGACTTATGAACATTTCAATTCTAATACTTTACGCATTGGACGATGTCAAAATGACCCAAATAGTCACAAGAAGGTCGGCGGAAAAGGTGTAAACTGGAAACCATTTCAAAACTTCAATATGACAGGAGTCTTCAA